AGTTCATTTGTGCTAGGTCAATATAATGTTGAATGAAAAAAAAAAAAAAAAAAAAAAAAAAATAATAATAATAATAATAATAATAATAATGTTGAATATTTTGTAGCCTCTTTGACAAACCACTACTGTCTTCCCCCCCCGAACACAACGCACCCTCATTATGAATGTATAGAGGCTAGGTTTCCGGTCCGATGCACTAAAAAATGAGGGTCATCATCATCATCATCATCATCATCATCAAGATGGTAGTAGGCAATGATAGATATCTTGATTACTATAATTATCTTTGTTTCTGACTTGGGGCGTTTTTTCAACTTTTTTCGCTTTCGATTATTGGCTGGCCGCGGACATCTCACGCATTCATATTGCGCTGCACACCACTCAAAATCTATTTATAGTAAGACAGCAGGGAATTGCAAGGAACTGTTGCCGCTCTGCGGTTGGACTTGACAAAAACGGGGCCATATTTTTCTTGCAAACGTGCCCAATTCCAGAGAGAAATTATTCGTGGAACCACCACGATCGAAATCATGTGGACAATTTTTCCAGCATAATTATACCAATGTTCAAGGGCCTGTTTAAAAAAAAAAAAAAAAAAAAAAAAGTTCATTCCAATACCATCAATGACATTTGCTTTACTTAGTTTACTATATTTCATGTATGAGGACCATGAGGTAGTGGATCCTGGTGGCCTGCACAGTGCGTATATATACTACCTCTGAAGATCGTAATCTCCATAATTTACCGTGTCTGTCTGTATCGTCTCGGTTACAGCAGTGTCCTGTCGGTTCTCTGGCTCTACCGTCTTCACCCGATTAGAACGCTCGGTCATTATCGCCGTATCTGGACTGACAATTACACCAAATACGGCTATAAGACCCGTCCGGTGAACACGGTAGTCTTATTCTGGAGGTTGATATTGCGCAAGTGATCCACTGGCAGGCATCCAGATCCTCATGGCTGCCCTTCTGCAACTGGCACTGCTTTTACTAAATGGTCCTCAACTAGTCCTGGACTCCTTGAGTCCCTGGGACCAGTGGACCTAGTCCAGGAGTCCCTGGGACCAGGACCAGGAGTCCCTGGGGCCAGGAATCCCTGGGACCAGGACCAGGAGTCCCTGGGACCAGGAGTCCGTGGGACCAGTGGACCACGGCCATGTTTTCTATTCCCGGACATTCACATCACAAGTGTCAAACCGGGTGACAATGAACCTGGTCATAAAAACTTAACTATTGATCCCCAGCTCTGAAGTGGCATTTCATGTCAGAATCTACTGGCCTGGAAGGAATTAGTGCTTGCACCTGACCGGATAGGCGGATTTATTTGCTGTCAGTGAAATGTTAACTTGAAGTGCCTAGTATCTGGTCAAGTGGAGGAACTATTGACTTGTTTTGAGTATTATGTCCCGCCTGGGCCCTGAGTAGCTCTTGAACTTTCTATCTTCAAGTTGTTCCCTTCTCTCAAGTCTCACGTCACTAATGAAGTGAACTCAATCCTTCTCCGGGAGAGGTCATACACCACTACTGTACTACTCCCTAATCTGGTGAAATAATTATAAAAGTAAATTGACTGTATACATGATCCTATGGCCGCAATAGCATTTTCTTTTTGTTTGCTTTTCCTTTGCCGCACCTTCGGCCTCTCACTCACTCGAAGACTGGAAGTTAGGAACTCTAAAGCAAGTACAATAGCGATCCATATGTTTCTCTCTCTCTCTCTCTCTCTCTCTCTCTCTCTCTCTCTCTCTCTCTCTCTCTCTCTCTCTCCGCGTCTGCCTCTGCCTGTTGCTTGACTTTGCTTCTTTGCTTATTATACACTGCGTGCGTATCGTGCATGAATGATTATATTAGGAACGATTGACAAAGTGACGTCAACAACAACAACAACAACAACAACAACAACAACAACAACAACAACAACAACAACAACAACAACAACAACAACAAAGACAAGGACGCACAACACTATGATCTAATTCGGAGAATCACTCTCTACGCGCACATCATCATGGCTCAGTGTGGATTGTGTGGATCAAACAGACGGGAACGGAAATCGATCTCGTCTCAGTGTGCAGTGGTTGGCCCCTCCCACCAGCCAACCATTCCCCCACAATGCTCCTGATTAAGGGAATTTCAAAGGTACTGCTGAAGGGATGCTGGTACTGTTGGAACCGCTGTCAAACACACCTATTACCTAACGCCACGGTCGCTTGATTCAGGGATGCTGGACCTTCCCAAGTGTGTACATTTGGATTTAAAGGAAAGCAAGTTTAAGCAACGACTTGGGAAAGCGATTTCTTAGCAAGGCTATGTCAAGGTGGGAGGAAAGACACAATGGCATGGCATGCATAGTTCGCTAAGTTGGGTTCAACTCGAGCTCTGTACTCTTTCGAAGTGTTTCATGGAAATAATCCTGTGAATGCCCTATTCTAAGTCTATAGATTAATTATAGGTCTAAGGTCTGTGCTTGCTGGCATTGTATTCACTGAGCACTGCTCTAGTCCCCCGATTGATATTTGATCCTGCCAATCACCACCCAATATCAATGACATTGTGTGGAATGCACGACATTGTCTGGTGTGGGAAAAAGACAAAGCAGGTATAAATTTTTGGTGGCTCAAGTACCCGGGTAGAGGTAGATGTGCCGGCACTGCCAGGTACTCGAGGCCGCGCAGAAGAAGACAAAGTTGGAATTTTTAGATGGCTTGTAGTTGTAGGCTAGGTCTAGGCAGGTACCAGTCCAACCAGTCTGAGTCGACGCGACTCTACGGCATGTACGGGCAATTTTATCAGAGTCTGCAATCATGATGTTTCCCTCCAAATGAGGTATCTATCGGCTGCTTGGAGGCCGCGCGGCCTCGGCCTAGGAAGTCACTCTCCAGACTCGGAGGAGTGAAGTGCTCCTCCTCATTGTCCAAGAGTAGCTAAGTGATCCTCCTCATTGTCGAATTTGTCGGTGTGCAAGCTTGGCAACACAGTGGCAGTGGTTGGAGCGCTGGCTGGAGCAGAGCTAGCACACAGAGCACTGCTGCTGGGGAAGAAGGAGCAAGGACCGAGACAGGAGGTCGGACTCCCGGAAAACAAGGACTAGGAAGGGGGAGCGCCAGAGGTACTTACCTGGCTATGGTGGTTGGCACTGGTTGCCATCTCGATCACCTTGGTGGCAATGGCAGGCGCTGCAGCAGGAAGGCCCTAGTGGGGTAGAGCTACAGCAAGAAGCTTCGAGGCAGAGTCAGGCATGGCGGCCTGAGCTGGAGCAGCCATAGCTGGTTTGCGTTGTCCTCTCCACAGAAGGGCAATGCCCTGGTTGTCAGCCATAGCCTCGGCCTTGGAGGAAGCAGGGAGAAGGGTGGCCATGGCTATGGTCGACCTCATATGATACCTGCAGTAGAAGAGGGAGTTGGACATTGATTCTGGTTCAGCCATTCAACATTATTATTATTATTTCTTGTTTGAATAAGAGGGGAGGAGATAAGGAGGAGGAGAGTGGTTGGCGAAGAATCAGGGCATTATCATTGATCTATGCTGCTGTACATCATCTTCTTCTTCTTTCTTTCTTCTTCTACTTCTTTCCCCCTCTCTCCTCTCAAGTTCATTCTTTTCTTTTTGCAATTGGACGGCATTGTGCTTTCTCATTGATGCGTACTTCGAATGTGGCCAGGATCGTAACAGTCTTGTTGGCATGGGCTTCTTCATGAGTCCACAAGTAACAAAGAGTGAGAGGAATAGTACTCAGTGATCATGATGGAGTCATGGACTACCCTCATATACATGGATGAAAATTATGGAATGCACACATTTCGTGATATCAGGTTGAACTTCCCCATATTAGATAGAACATCAGGCCTGTGTATTTTTCAAAATTCTGAAGCAGGTGGTCATCTTCTCTCTTTGCAACTGGGAGACATCATATAGAGACAGTAGAGTTGGCATTTATCTTGGGAGGGTGGGAAGAATGGAAAGATTTCAGAATTTTGAAAAATACACAGGCTTGCTGTTCTATCTCCGTAACTCCGTAACTCTGTAACTCCATAACTCCGTAACTCTGTTCAGGCAAGCCAACAGAGTTACAGAGTAAGATTTTCACAAAGTGAGTGACTCAGTGAGACTTGAAAAAGGTCTTGAATCCTAAATCCTCCTTTGTTTGTGTTGATTTGGAATTTTGGATGCTTAACTCTTCTCCTCCTGTTCACCTGGATGTTAAACTTTCACCGTTGCAGTATTTCCACGATGGCAATCGGGACAACAATGGGGACAGGGAAGCAGAGGACAAGCTGGGACAAGAAGACATAAAGAAATAAATTACCATACAATTAATGTGAAGGGGCAGTACATCTTATAGCCATCCGGAAGTCTTAGAGAGGAGGGGGGATGGGAAAGCTGGGAAGACGATGATGAGGAGGGTGCAGGAGAAGATACAATTATGAGAGAAAACAGCAGCAGCAGCAGCAGCAGCAATAGTGGCAACATGAAAGCATCACCAACCTCAGTAGCAGCTGTAGGAGAAGGCCAGTTTCTTCAGAATTCCATATGAAGAGAGCCGTGACGGCCCTTTTCTATGCAATCAATGACATGTGTGTTTCGGTGAAACATGAGGGTTACCTTGCATCGGGCAACTCTTGTCATTACTAAGTAGCAGCAGAGATCCTGACGACTGTACAGAAGCAAGAGAAAGGACAAAAAATAAAGCCAAGAGGGCCAGGATGCAGCAGTGGAGGTGGAGAGGGCAACAACCAGGAAGGGACGCATAGGTGTGTGGGTGTGTGTGTGTGTGTGTGTGTGTGTGTGTGTGTGTGTGTGAGAGAGAGAGAGAGAGAGAGAGAGAGAGAGAGAGAGAGAGAGAGAGAGAGAGAGAGAGAGAGAGAGAGAGAGAGAGAGAGAGAGAGAGAGAGAGAGAGGATGGACGTGGCAATCGGATTAGTACCGAACCTGGTGGACAGGTTGTTTGACAAAGCGGTAGAATATTACGGAGGTGTGCGATACTTCAAAGTTGAGTGGAAGGCTATTCGAGATGAGTTGTTAAGACCCTGTCGAAGTGCATCAAAATGGAAGACCTCCCGAGTCCGCTAGAGAGCACCGATCCTGTCAGGAATGTTCGTGAGACTGTGAGCAAGCTACAAACACTGTCTGAGAAAGCCGTGGAGAGCATGGATAAAGCCTACAGAGCATGCACGCGCGTCAATTTCTTCATGGGACTACTCAGAAGGAATCCAAAACTGCAGGAAATAAAAAGGACCCAGCAGGATGTGCATCGTTTTGTGACCATTGCAGTTCCCTTGATGACAGTGTTAATGGATGTCATTTACCAGAAGGCAATCATGCATCACCTCAGAGAAACTGAGGCGACAATCCTCGAGGTAGTCGCGCAACTAAAGACGCTTTTGCTTAACCAAGGAGGAGGACGTCGACTTTTCATTGAGCTGGAGTGTGTGGGACTAGCTAGTGTGGACGTGGCGGAATGGCTAAGAGGGCGGCTGGCAGCGCAACCTGTGCCATTCAATTTGGCGGTAAGTGGACAAACCACTTAATAAGAGAACGATGGACAAAACATCTGAACATAGATGCACAAAGTATAAAGAATTTCAAATTCTTTAATAAACTTAAAAAACGACCAGCTAAATTTTCCTCCTTACAATGCCAAATTCTTCACCGTTGCTTACCAACTAATGATTGGCTCATAGATCATACCAATCTGGAGCAACGTGGTCTGGCGCTTCCATAGTGTAAAGCATGTTTTACTGTCTTCCCATGACTATCACAACATCAACACACCACATTTACCGTTAGCTGGTTCAACAATGGCCTAATACAGCTCAAAGATCGTGCTAAAACGTTTCCAACGAACTATGCCAGATAATGTAGAATAATCATGGTTGAATGATTAAACGACCTGCATGAATGAGGTATACATATACTAGATAGATAGATAGATAGATAGATAGATAGATAGATAGATAGATAGATAGATAGATAGATAAATAGATAGATAGATAGATAGATAGAGATAAATAAATAGATAGATAGATAAATAGATAGATAGAGAAGATCAGAGAAACAATAGAGCATGATCTGTTTATTCAATGCCCAGGAACGATTCTAATTTGGAGAAGATGGGATTGTGTGTGGAGGAGGTTGACGGGCATTAACTGGCCATGGGATTGGAAAGCCATTCTCCTGGGCCAATGGGTACCACTACAAACACAATCATCAGAATTCCGGACAAATACTTTTGACATAGGAAGAAAAGTCATTCTATGGGCTCTGTGGTACAAAAGATGTGTACATGAAAGAGAAGATGTAAGACTAGAAGGAAAGGAACCTGCCGATTTAATTGTTCAGTTTGTACAGACAGAAGTGCGGGCACAACGGTTAAAGGTGAGATCCAAAATACAACTGTTCCACCAGAAAAAAAGACATTATCAATTATATTCAAAAATTTAATCAAAAATGGCTGGGGGGATCTGAAGGAGAAAGCTTGGGAGAAGTGAAATGGCCCGRAGGGGAAGAACAGGGGGAATCCCTGAAGAGGGACAACCATCTGTACTTCAAGGACTGGTTTTCACTTCCATCAGGAGCCTCACTCAGATCTTCGGATTGCTTCCCTGACCCCTTCCCGCCCTCGAATCTGGCCTTAGTAGATTTGCATTGRTATGCCTTGTAATAGGGTTAAATAGTTTCTTTTGCTTATTAGTGAGCAAAGATTAGGTGGGAGTGATGCTAGCTTTGGAYGAAGTATCTGGCGGCCTAAGCCTAGGCTGAAGAGGCAGATCCTACTCTCTGAGTACTGTATTTAAAGTCATGGACTGGATTAAGATGTACGTGGGATGCTGGACCCGGTTTCCAGCAGGTGCAGCTCCCCACCAATAGAATGGAGCCAGCAGCTGGGTTACTAGTGGTGGATGCTCGTATCACCTCCACTAGAAAAAAAAAAAAAAAAAAAAAAAAAAAAAAAAAAGAGCCAAATAACAATTTTTTTTTACCAAAAAAAAAAAAAAAAAAAAACCAAAAAAAAAAAAAAAACCCCCCCCAAAAAAAAAAAAAAAAAAAAAAAAAAAAAAAAAGAAGGAGCCTGAAGAGTCGTGAAGACTTAGTGTGCAACTTTCTCATCTGTCCAGAGTCCAAAGCCTACTAGTAGATAATCACCATGGGGCCCATGATGGGGCATCTTAAAGTTTTCCTTCCTGCATTTTCATTTATAAAGAAATTCACTTTTTGAATATTAAGTTTTTGTTAAACCACTAGTAGTCCCTAAAGTCACGCCTGTTAACAAGCCACAATTTTAGGAAACGTGCGGGCCACGACAGGAGCGCCCAAATTCATCCAACTAGAAGCATTTGTACTCTATTTTTTTCCCGTGGCCGATAGCTGGGCCAAGTACTGCTGGTTTAATAAGAATGGAAACCAGCTCTGTCCCTTTCATCAGCTCCACACTCAATGCTTCCTTTCATTAATATGGTCAAGGGACCCTTTTTTTTTTTTTTTTTTTTATTTTGTTAAGGGGCCTTTTTTTTTTTTTTTTTTTTTTTTTTTGAAATAAGGCCCTTGTGCAAGACCTCTATCCTGGTGGTGGTAGGAGAACCACCGGGATTCTGAGACAGCAGCATTGATTACTTCCTTTTCCAGGAACGTCAAGGATGCACTACCTTTGTACCCCTGTTTCCTTTCACCCTTTCTTGAAAAAAATAAAAATTAAAATAAAAATTAAAAAAAAAATAAAAATAAAAAATAAAACCCTTCTATTCTGGGGAGTACCAGTCCCGTTGCTTATCACTGGCAACCAAAAGGAACACGAATATTATGGAGAAATAGATGGGAGACAGGAAAGGAAAAAGTTCGAGAAAAAGTTCGGGGGCGAGGAGCGGACGCACCCGGGCAATCGGGAGATTCCCCTTGGTACCCAGTCATTGCCTGGCAAGTCCACCCTCGTCCCTGTCTCTTTCTAGCCCATAACTTTGGGATTAATTCTTGTCCCCTCATTGGCAATACTTCCTGTTAAACCCAATTCTGGGAAAATTGGAAAATCAGTCCGAATAATGAAACACTCCCCTTGCGAAAGGAGATCACAGTATCTAGCTGATGTGGCGCAGTCCCACCGGGGCGCGGGCAACTCAAGAGTGCTAGGCTTGTGCTGGGCGTATTGTATGCCGAGTGGGGCAGCGGGCCAGAATGGTGGTGACGCGGGAGCAGTGGGCGACGTTGGGCGATGGCGCGAAGCGGTTGGCGCGTTCGCGGCAAGGTGGATGGGCGACCTTAATCATTGGTGGGGGACGAGGTTGGGCCGGGAGGGTTAGTAAAGCGGCCTGGAGGTGAGTGGGATGATGGAGGGGCAGCATGGTGGGTACTTCATTGTTGGGTAAGGTGGAGGGATGGATTGGTCGTGGAGGTAGGGTTATGGATGTAGGGTGCCTTCCCCTTTCCTCAATAGGGTAGTAGTAGAATTATGAAAGCTTGAAACCCCCTGTGGCGACTTGCTAACAGGTTTGGTGAGGTGAGGCCACACTGTCTTTTCTTTATTCCTGGGGGATCGAAGATGGCCGAGTATGTTTTCGGTGCTAGTGTCGCTTTTGAGCCTAAGACTAGTATGTTCTGTTTGAACGCCATGAACGCGCATCCGCGTTCAAATTCGCATTTGAACTCGGAATCGAATTCGCGTTCAATCTTTTCTTAAGTTTTGTTTAATTATATATTTTTTTAATTTTTAGAGCCCATTTACAAGCCCTCTATCCCAGTGTTGGTGAGAGAACCACTAGGATTAAGGATTTGATAGTCGGGTTGCTCCATCTATTGGTGGGGATCGACACCTGCTGAAAACCAGGTCCACCGTCTCTCTCTCTCTCTCTCTCTCTCTCTCTCTCTCTCTCTCTCTCTCTC